AACGATCTTCTCTTACAACGTCTCTGTTCCAGCTCCATATAAACTATTGCAGGCATTTTCTGCTAGATCTCTGAGTAACATCTCCATTTCTGCCGACTTCGCTATCAGCTCTTAGATACTCACCCACATAATGAATCTAGATCTGATAAAAGGCAGTAATGCTAAGTGCAGTAGCAGAACGCAGTAATATTTAACAGCGGAATTATTTGTTTGATAGATAATATACCAGGATGGTAAAATATAGAGACCTTACATCAAAAATTTCCATGTGCACAAGTTCTTCGCATTCTGCTTCATTTGTCTTCATTTCCTGCTTTCTATATTATTTCCAGCAAGTTAAAGACTTTTATCAAAGACTGCCCACTTCGCTGGCTGGCTGGCTCCATACTCAAGATCAAATATCCCAACGTCCGGCCAACGGACCAAAGAGAATTAGCAACAAGAAACTCTGGCGATGAACAAACCAACCAACAGAGCAAGAGCCGATTGCTCAACAAATATGTTGGGAAAGTGGAGATGAAGATGGACTGATTGCGCATACACGCTACTGAGGAGACCAATGAATAACATGGCGCACAATGCTAGTGGGAAGTGACAAGTGGGTAGTCATTGAGAGGGTGACATGGAGGAGATGGTGTTTTATGGATGAAGACATGAGAGATTATGGACAGTAATCGTGGGTTTGGCCAACTGAAAAGGACAGCAGCAAATTGAACAGAGTGGAGATGTATTGTCGAAGCCGTATGTTCCACTCGGGATCCAAGGGAATAATAACAATAATACATCATTGCACAAGGATCTTTCACTTCGCCTCTTCCTTACTTAACCTATCCCTCTACTAGTGAAGATTCTTGGGGATGATATGACATACAGTATTATTATTATTACTGTTTTAATCCTTAACGTCTCCAGTGGAACAGAGACCTTCAAACTATTAAACTTTCAAGTTTCAGTAGCAAGAATGTTGTATTTTACGGCGTGGGTTCACCAACTTCACACTCAACCTTCCCTATTTTTGGTGGCATACTACCAGCTAAGCGAGATTTAAGAGTGCTTCTGTTGGCCAGGAATCGAAATCCGCACCACATGAGGCGTGATTGGCGAGTATTCTAACATTGACCATCACCGACGTACATGTGTAACAACAGAAGACAAGTGCCAGACAACAGATCGTTTATTAAGGAAATCAACACATATTTATAGATTTTTATGTACATTATTATAGATTATTGTTAGCAGAAAAGTACAGTCTTCTGATTGATTATTTCATCTCTTTGTGACTGTTTCTTGAATGTCAGATCATCTATATGTTAACTGTATCCGCCTACACAAGGCCTTTGTTCTCATATTTCTCACGACCAATATTGGGAACATAAGCATTGACGTAAATTACTGTCCACCAATTTTGGCTAACAGTCAGCTCTCAGCACACGTGTAGTTTTGCTTCAGTACCTACGAAATAATCGACCCCCCCCCTACCCACCCAACCTATTAGTTCGACCCTCAACTAATTCGTAACCATAACAATTCATTTCATAAAACATAGATTAAATACTTTCCCAAGAGTTAGTTTATAGAGATCTGCTTTGTTTCGGTTTGATATCAATCCTCCGTGGTCAAACTTGAGAAACAAATCAAATCCCTATACATCAACTCTTGACAAATTAATCTGATGCTCGCTAGTAACTGGTCACACGACGATGTAGTCTGGAGTTTTAGTGAGAATTCATGACCAATGGGGGCCACACAACTCGCCAATGACATAGGCTGGCTGTTGATCTCATTATAACCACGAACTGGTAGGAACTGGAATTCATTGGCTGGCCATTGAGGAGTCAGGTCCCAATGACTGAATGGTCTCGCGAGCTTTCCTTGTAACCAGAAGATTCTAGGTGGGAACCCCCATGAGTCCTAAATTAGACTTACTACACAGCTGTCTGACAGTACTCCACTGCTGGTATTCCAACGGTTCTCTGCCATCAAACTTGAAACTGCTTAAAACTTTCATCTCTCTCTATATTTTGATAGCGTTATTAGAAGACGGAGATTATCTGAAAAATGTGATGTATATGCGCTATCGATTTCGAACAATCTTATCACACATTTACTTGTCAAGTCAATATATACGGAAAAGTTAAATTAAACAAAGTGAGAGAAAAAGGAATTAGGAAAAATTAACACAAACGTTTGGTGATCCAATCAAATAAGGATTACCAAGGTAGGTTAAGAGTAATGACAAACCGTTTTTGAATACACAGGGGGAGGGCTTAAGTCTATGAATAGCTATAGCCTCAGCGTATTTCAGTAAACGCCCTTGACCGTTTTTATAGATGACCTTAAATGCTGAGTTAACATCAATCTTATGGTTCATCTCGATTAGATGTTTAGCTATAGACGAATTTGGTAGTCTGACACCTGCATCTATTGGCTTGTCACAATTCACTTGTTTTTCTAACCATTTTGGGATATGCTCTCCCACCCTCACATGCAAAGCGCGATTACTCCTCCCTATGTATGTATGTCCACACACACACGAAAATTGGTAAATTGTGTGGGATATGACATAATCATTTGTCCACTTTTGAGGTTTAATTTAACTTTTCCATATATATTGACTTGACAAGTAAATGTGTGAGGGATCAGATTGTTCGAAATGTATAGCGCAAATACATCACATCACATTTTCCAGATAATCTTCGTCTTCTAATAACGCTATCAAAATTCATAAAAGGGACTAATTGTTTTAAATCTTTCTATACTGCATATATTTTCTCTCTCGTTTGGTTTGTTTTAATCGATTAAGATATGACGACCCCTCTAAGGGTGTTATCTACTTACTCTTATGTGTGCATTTAAAATGTTTACAAGTTTCTGATTCGCAAGATCCTACTAAACTTGGAAAAAGGCCTGATTGTAGGTGGTAACGTGTTCCAATACATGAAATGACTGTTCTTCAGTTACGTCCTTGAGTCTCAAGATGTACTCTTCTGAATATCTTACAATTAGCTTTCAACTAGATCGATATCGTGGATGGATTTCTTGAAGGAGACAATGCCGACATATGTATCATAGTGGAATGGTTGGTGTTTCAGCTCAGAGAACATTGTGTCACAGGATATACTACTGTGACCAATAGGGTACAGCAGTTTGGAGGTGAGGCAATAGCTCATCGAAGAAGACATTGAGAAGTGGTCGCGCTATGTCATGAATTGGCAGAAGTTAGAATACATGCATTGACTGGCCATTGGATCAGTTGGGTGCCAGTGCCTTGATGGTCTACGAGCTAGCTCACCTTGTAACCAGAATGTCGTAGGTTCGAACCCCGTTGGTGGGTGCGTACTACTGAAGAATCTCGAAAGAAAATGTAGGGAAATGTCACCTCCTCAAACTAAATGAACTTCAAATTGTGGAGTTCTCTATTACACTCGATGGCGACTTGCTTAAAAATTGGACCACCAAAAACTTTCATCTCTCTATTGCATATATTTTCTCACGTTCGATTTGTTTTAATCGACCAAGATGTGACCTCTAATGGTATTATCTACTCTTCTGTCTATTTAAAATGTTTACAAGCTTTCTTTTCGAAAGTTCCTACTAAACTTGAAGCAAGGCCTGATTGTGGGTGGCAATGTGGTCCAATACATGAGATAACTGTACCTCTAAACATCCTACAATTGACTTTCAACTAGACAGAGTGGATGTTTTGAAGGAGGCACAGAAGGTATATCATAATGGAATGGTTGGTGTTTCAGCTCAGAGAACATTGTCACAGGATATACTACTGTCAATTAATTAATATTTTCAAGTGTTGGTTTGTAGGAATTTGATTGGTTACAGGATTTCATCATGAGCTGACACATCAGTTAGAGAACCATTGGAAAACCTGGGAGTACTGGACAGCTGTTTCGTCCTAGTTTGGGACTCTTAAGCAGTACGCACCCACCGGGATTCGAACCCAGGACCTTCTGGTCACAAGGCGAGCTCGTATACCATTAAGTCACTGGGACCTGTTCCAATGGTCCTTGAATTCTGACTTCTGCCAATTCACGCATGACATAGCGCGACCGCTAACCAATGTCTCCGGCGAGTATTTGTCCTCACACCCGACCCGCTGCACCCTACTGGTTACGACTTCCGAAATTAATATTTTACTTGAAGATATTGTATAAAAGGAAAATAACATGCAATAAATTCCTCTGAAAATTTTGTACATTTTATGTAAGTATACTGTCCAGAGTAAAGATATTTTACAATTTTCAAAGGAGTGTTCAATGTACAACAGAAAATGTATGTCATTCTACTGAGAAGTTTAATTCTTCAACTAAAATAATATTCAAGTATTAGTTTTGTAGACATGTTATTTGATTGGCTGTAAGATTTCATCATGAGCTGACATCATGAGTTAAAGAATCATTGGAAAATCACCACTGGAGTATTGGACAGCTGTTTCATCCTAATTACTCTCAACTGGTTTTCCAATGATTCTCTAACTGATCGTGTCAGCTCATCATAAAACCCTCCAACTAATCAAACCAAATCAGCACAAAAAAAACACACCAATACTTGAAAATTAATCTAACGCTAACTAACGACTGGCGCTATTCAGGCAGTTAATTTAGGAATATCTAGTGGGAAGCCGTAACCAGTACGCTATAGCAAGTTGAAGATGAGGTAGTAATTCATCATCAAAGGAGACATTGCGAAATGATCGCACTATGTCATTCATGAATTGGCAGAAGTCAGAATGCATGCAATGACTGGTGGCTGATGAATGACCTACGAGCTATAGCTCATCTTGTGTAACCAGAAAGTTCTGGGTTCGAACCCTTTCTGTAGATCTGTACTGCTGAACATTCCTAAACTAGGCTCCTCCTACCAATATTGTATTTTAAAGAAAATAGTCAATTTATAATAATCTGTTTATTTGTTGTAATTTACTGAAAAATAGGAAAATAATTTAAATTTATGCGTCATTTATAATACACAAATTGTTTTTCACCCTATAAAATATTTACATAATTTTGTAGTGTAGGCATAAAATTATAACTGAACATTTGATTTGTAACAACAGGTTGTGTAATAAAATGATGATTATGTTGGTTTTGTTGTTGATAATAATAATAGTAACGCGATAAATTTGAAATCCCGCCAAATTCATTGTTGTTGTTGTTCAATGGATTCAATATTTGATTTAAACAATTCTTTTCATCATTTAAACAAGGAGAAGAAAAGTTAACTGAAGAGAAAAGTGAACTGGGAAATGTTGTTGGTGATGATGATACTACTGGACTACTATCAATAATAGCAGTAGTAATAGTAGTATTAGTAGTAGTGGGAATAGGCATGACGCTATATTCTTCTTCTGTTATATGAGGACTTATATTTTTTGTAGTACATTGGAGTAAGGGGAATACTAAATTCGATGTACAAATATCATGATTACTATTTATCGATTGGTTTGAAATTTTGTTATTAGTATTATTATGATCATTATTCACACTATTCTCCTTGTTTAAATTCAACAAAACAGTCTGATCATTTGGCGGGAGGATATTTGTCCGGAGAATAGGAGATGATATTGATTGTAAGGTGGTTAGATTTGATGGTGGTGTACAAGTAGATTGGTTAACAGAAGGATAGGATGAATAAGACGACAATATTTCTGAAGATGATCTGCCTGTTGATGTAGACATTGATTCTGGTGTCATCAGCTGATTTCCTATAGAACTGGTTAACAGTTGTATAGGCTTGATCCGTTGATCTGTTGAATGCTGATCACGACATGATAATAAGACGGTCAACTTTTCTTGTACTTCAGTTAAACTTTTTGTTAGCAGGAGGATATAATTTTTAGCTAATAATAATGTTGCAATTTTTGACAATTTTCTAACTGATGGATTTTGAGCATAGGGTAATACGGATCTACAAAAAAATGTGAATCATAAAGGTGTTTTTAATATAGGGAAACATTTAGACGACTAAAAGAAAAGTTTGGGTAAACGATCCCCTTCCGATTAATGCCCCTTTCGGTTGCATAACCAACGTTATATAACAAAATCAGCGCAAAGATTTTAGTTGTTTCAAGTCTTCTTAGACGAGCACACTCTTTGACGTTAACGGATGAGAAAGAAAAAGAAGAAGAAATATCAAACATTACTGAAACTCTCAAGCAAAACAACTACCCAAGGAACTTCGTCAACAAAATCAACACAGACATTAAGTATGGCCGAAAACGCATTCCCAAAAAACATGGACATCAACAGTAGTCATTTCATACAGACCACCAGATATGTCAGATGATATCAGAAAAGTACTCAATAACCTTGACATTAGAGTTTCCTTCAAAACATCAGACACACTTCAAAGCAACCTTGTCCATATAAAAGACCAAATCCCTAAAGATTCTCTATCTAATTGTGTCTATAAAATAAAATACCTGGAATGTGATGCGATCTACACTGGGCAAACATCTCGAGAAATCAAAATCAGAAGATATGAACACCGTAGAGCATCTCTGCGGCCACCAAGAAATCCAGTTGAACTAGAAAAACTTGAAAAATCATCAGCTATAGCTTGTCTACACGCTATAGAATCAGGCCACAAAAGTGATTTTGACAATATTGAAATAATACCGGAAAAACTTCAGAAATCACAAAGAACGTCTAATATCAGAAGCACTTCATATCAAGTGGAATCCAAATTGCCTGAATATGAATGATGAACTAAAACAGAATCTGACCTGGTTACAACACCCCACCTCCCCCATGAAGTGGCGAAATCAACACAAATGTGATAAGCAAGTTCACTATGTAAACACGCACTACTTTTATAATTTTACACACTGATCAAATCCAACAAACTACACTTGATTTTGTTATCTTTACCAATTCACTAACTTGACAACCAAAAATGACCCCAGGCTGACAAACGATGATCAAGTTAGTAAACTTTGTTTTAATATAATAACAGATGTACTATTACCTTTGATATTTGGTTTTAGTGATCTTCATTGTTATTTTGACTTTTAAGTTGACCTAAGTCTATTTTCTCACCCCTTAACTCTTTGTCACATATATGCTGAGTGGATTTTGTAAATTCCGGTTTAATAATACTTTGGTAAAGATATTAGCAGCAGCATTAAATAGCGAAACGTCAATAAAACACAACAACAATATCGTTTTGTTTTTCATTCATTGGGAAATACAAAAAAGAAACCTTTATTATAAAATCAAAACAACGTGAAATAAACTAACGAAATCAGGACAAATTACAGAACAAGATCACTGGCGAATGAAATCTAATAGACCTATTTTACCTCGATTAATTCTATGGTAGACCAAAACTATACAAACTAAACATTCCCTTACAACCACGAATTGTTTCGCTTCCAGGAACAACACCAACAACATATAATCTATCTAAAAAACTTTTCAGAAAATTAAATTATCTAACAGAATTATGCCACCAATCTATCAATCGATTGGTCAATCGAATTTTTTGTGAGAAAATCAATAACATTCAAGTAGAAGACAATGAAATAATGGTGTCCTCTGATGATGATGATGTCACACAGCATTTTATATACTTCAATTAGTCTAAAACTAGCAACAGAAACTATGCAACAATTACTCTATAGTGATGATGAAAATATAAAAGCGCAGTGATGTTCAATTTGGATAGAATTATGCCTTACAACACATACTTCCAAATCAATAATTAGATATACGAATAGATAAAAGGAACTCCAATGAGATCAACGCCAATATCAGGATTAATAGCTGAAGCCGTCATGCAAAGATTAGAACCAATAGTTCTACTTATAATTAAACCGAAAATCTAGACAGGTGCGTTACGTTGATGATACATTTGTAATAATTAAGAGAAATGTGATTTAGAATATACTCATAAATTATTAAACAACATATTCGAAAACATCAAATTCACCACAAGAGAAGAAGAATTAGATAACAAAAATCCCAATTTTAGATACCTAACTCAGGAGAACTAACATAGGAAATTTAGAAGCACAAGTATATAGAAAATCAACGCACACAGATCAAATACTTAACTGTACTAGCAATATTCAAGTGTTGGTTTGTAGGAATTTGATTGATTTCAGGATTTCATCGTGAGCTGACATCAGTTAGAGAACCATTGGAAAACGTAAAAGGAGTACTGGACAGCTGTTTCGTCCTAGTTTGGGACTCTTAAGCAGTACGCACCCACAACACGGGGTTCGAACCCAGAACCTTCTGGTTATAAGGCGACCTCGTATACCATCCCGGTAGGTGCTTACTGTGAAAAGTCCCAAACTAGGCTGACGAAATAGCTGTCCAGTACTCCCAGTCGGTTTTCCAATGGTTCTCTAGCAAATGTCAGCTCATGATGAAATCCTGTAACCAATCAACCAAATCCCTACAAGCTAATACTTGAATATCAATGAGATGCTCACTGGCGACTGGCCCTATTCAGGTAGGTAGTTACCTGGGGTTCCAGTGGAAAGTGCCGACCAGTAGGGTGCAGCAGGTCGGGTGTGAGGACGAAAACTCGCCGAAAACATTGGCTAAGGGTCACGCTATGTCATGCGTGAATTGGCAGAAGTTAGAATTCGTGGGTCATTGGATAGGGTCCCAGTGGCTTAGTGGTATACGAGTTCGCCTTGTAACCAGAAGGTCCTGGGTTCGAACCCCGTGGTGTGGGTACGTACTGCTGAAGAGTCCCAAACTAGACTGACGAAACAGCTGTCCAGCACTCCCAGGTTTTCCAATGGTTCCCTAATTAATGTCAGCTCATGATGAAATCCTGTAATTCAAAGATTAATTTATGTTAACAAAAGAAGTTGGTTCAAATACCTTCCTTATCCCACCATATCATCAAGGTTTTAACGATCCTCAATTTGTTGTTGTAGATATTTCTTTAATTTTATTTGATATTCTATATTTAATATTGCTATATTACTATAACTTATGCATCATCTGTCTTGAACTGTGATAATTCCACTGTGATCTTAGCAAATCAATATTACTATTTTTTTTTATACATTAATATTGTTCATGACCACTATTCTTCAAGAATATTTTATTTCTATAAACATATACATAGTTTCAGGTTATACTACGGATTAATATCAGTTAGAGAACCATTGAAAAACCAGCTGGAGGGGGGGTACTGGACAGTTGTTTCGTCAACCTAGTCTGGGACTTTTCATCAGTACGCTATTCAACAACAGGTTGGAGGTGAGGACAAGTTGGAATTCATGCACTGACTGCCCTTTGGATTGGCGGGTCCCAGTGGCTGATGAATGGTCTACGAGTCAGCTAGTTCGCCTTGTAACCAGAAGGTCCTGAGTTTAAAACCGGGCAGTGAGTGCCTACCGCCGATGAGTCCTAAACTAATATGAAACAGCTGTCCAGTACGTCAGCACTGGTTTTCAATGGTTCTCTAATTGATATTAATCTTTCGTCTGTTTTTGATGTGGTTTTGTTCTCTGAGCTGGATAGTTGATTTGCGAAGCTTTCATCACCCTACTGGGTGACATCTTCAGCGCATACTTCAATTTGAAGTGAGCTTTTAGATTTCTCCACGAGTTTATTAATCATCTCTCCTGGTGACCTTGGACAACCAACCACGTCCAAGGTCACCAGGAGAGATGATTAATAAACTCGTGGAGAAATCTAAAAGCTCACTTCAAATTGAAGTATGCGCTGAAGATGTCACCCAGTAAGGTGATGAAAGCTTCGCAAACTAACCATCCAGCTCAGAGAACAAAACCACATCAAAATCATCCACCTGAGCTACAAATCTTCTCTATCATATCTTTCGTCTGTATATATATATATATATATATATATATATATATATATATATATATATATATAAGTTACGGAAGTAAAAACAAACACAGTTCAGTGAAGAGTCTACTTTCGGCGGCGAATTCACTCACTCAGATGTACGATTGTAATTATTTGTTGATTATTTCTTCATGTATGTGTACACATCACAAGAACAAAAAAAATGATTTGGAATAGTGTTTACATGGTCAGAATATTTCACAACATTGATGAATAATCAAAATTGCAGCTGGGTGGTGGTGGGGGGGGGGGGTGAACATTTGTAAGTTTAGCTTAGGATTGCGTATCCTGTCCAAAAGGATTCAAGAACACCATCCCACAGAATGGCTACAAAAAAGTAATAGTGGCTGTATAAGAAGTGCGATAATCGAACATCTCGTCAACATTGGTCACACCCCACCTCAACAAATGCCGCCTCCTTCAAAGTGATCTACAAAGTGAAGAATAACCTACCGAAGGCAATACGCTTGCACCTCCTTTGTATAGCAGAAGCCTTACTTAGCCACTCAGTTGGCGAAACCAGAGTTATGCATACAAGAGAAAATCATCCAACCAACCACTTCTACTATCATGATAACCAACTGTGTTCATTTCTACAACCTTGATGTTTGTGTGCCTGGTTCTTTTTGTCTTTTGTAACTCCTTACAATATTTCTGATTCTCAAAACTCTTACATAATTCCATATATCTCTTTGTTTCTATGTGCATCCTAATCACACAGCTCACTCATTAAACTATTCATCTGATTACGTAACTGTATTGCGCATGCCAAACTTCTTTAATGTGTTGATTAACATTAATAACTATTTCACTCTGACAACTCATCCCTAGTACCTTCTCACGAGTCTTCACCTATCCTCCCCCCCCCACACTCTAGTTACAATTCCACTGGTCATCACATTTTGGAAGTGTCTTGACAACAATAACCCTAACTTATTTTTGTTCTGATCGGAGAAACCTCATGTACACACACACATATATACAAAAATTAGTATATATAATTACCACTGCACGCCTAAGTGAATCAATTTGCCGCTGAAAAGAGACTCTTTACTGAACTAGGTCTTTTGATTTCATTGATATATGAAAGCATTCGCAAAAATCGATCTTAACGGAACAGCATAGATTATTATTATTATTATTATATCCTTTAACTCCTAGAGGAACATAGGACTTCAGCTGCACGTCTCCACTGCGTTTGGTTCTCTGCTAAAGTTTTCACCTGGCTCAACGTATGCCCATATGCTTTCATCTCCTCTTACATGTCACCCTCGCACTGATGACCAACTCGCCGCTTCTTGTTCGGGTTCCACTCGAGCGATAGCCTGTCGTGTGATGTCAATTGATGGTTTGTTTTCTAAGATTATGGTCAATCCAATGCACCTCCATTTCTTCCTGAATATTTGTTGCCTAATCGGTTTCTGCTGGGTTGGTCAGCTCACTGCCAGAGATTCCTCCCTATTGCTGATCTTTTCTGGCCGGCCATCTGATCATGAGTTATAGGAAGCGAGGACAGCTGTTGACGAAGGTTTTTAGTTTGTTCGAAGTCCCCTTCGTGACACGGCGCCAAGTCTCTGATCCGTATAGTAAGTAGCACTGACTTCACATTAGAGTTAGAAATCGGGATCTTATTTTCCATACTGACTAGTGCTGTTAACCTCCACACAGACTTAAGAGTAATGAAAGCTTGTCTTGCTTTCCCGATTCTTGCTTTGATATCCTCATCAGTTCCATCTGCTTGTAGTTGAAACGATGCTTCCCACGTCAGTATGTGAAGGAAGTTGCTTCTTTCAGATTCCTCCCATTTATGCTGGCTGATTGTTGTCTGTTGTAGTTGCTGTGGCTGTTGGTGTTGGACAGGAATCTTCATCACCTACCTATGTTTCCTCTATGTTCACCTGAAATCCTTCCTATCTTTGACACTTCTTCTGTCAACTTGTTGCTTTTCACTTGCATATCTTCCAGTTTGTGAGAAATCAGACATATATCACCGAACAGCATAGAAACAAGTATCAAATTTTAATTATATGATAGGTGCAAAATAGTAAAATGGAACATTAGTCAACCAAATGATGATCTTAAATGTCATGCGAAAAATGCACAAAGTAGTAATGACTAAAACAAAATATTGATAATAGTTGAACTTGAAATTATACACAGAGTAGAAGTGAGGATGAGATGGAGAAGTTTCTTCTGTGAGCATAAATTGGAGTTTTCCAATCGAATTCCTAAGGTTTCATCAATACAAAGTATGCACACGGCTGTCGGCAGACTCCTTTCGGCTTTGTAGACAATTTTTTGCATGAATTCTGCTCACATATTCAGTGATCAGTGTTGAATATGGAAAAACCTAATTCATATACACAGAAGAACCCCCCCTCCACCCCTGCCTTCTACCTTAGTTAAAATTCCAAGCTCAAGAACTCTGAAGACTGTCAGTAGGCCGAGTGGTGGTATCCCATTGGTCCATATCGTTGACATTGTCACTGATAGGCACTTGATGTCATGTAAAAAATTTGCTAAAGAAATTTTGTCAGACTCTGAGCACCCACTCTACCCGCAGCTCCAACCTTGTGCCTCCTCCTCAGGTAAAACAAGAAGTCTTTTCAGAAGACTTTATGCACGTACGTTTAAGTATAAAAATTCCACTGTACCATATTTGACGGCACGTATTTCATGTCATGAAAATAGTGTCAAGCATCAACTAACTAACTAACCTTCTTTGCACTACTAAATAAACCATTTCTTCCATCCTTACAGTACCAACCTTTATTGTTATTATACTTCTTATATTTATAATCCTCTCAACTTTTTGTTTTTATTTATTTATTTTCTCATAAGTGTGAACATCATTTAAGCTGTGTGAATAACTGTTAATTTTGTATTTCCCCTCACCATACTGCTATATCAACAGAATATTAGATTCAATATTCTATAGTAACATGCTAAAATTTTCAAACTGAATCGACAATACTGTTTGAAACAAACACTCACTGTTATTATTATCGTTATTAATATTATTGCATTTAATAATCTTATTTCGTGCTTCGAATATTTTCGACTTTATATCATAAATGTGGACAAATTCCTCTGGTTAATTTTGTTCTAATTTTTAATTTTATTTATATTTTAATTAAATCATATGCAAGGTGTTGTGACAAATGCTGAGAATTTCATTCTGTATTATAAACGCTGTCTGTTTTCAAATAAAGTAGATTATTATTATTATTATTATTTTGTAATTAATTACTACTTTGAGCATTTTTTTCGTACGGCATTTAGTAACCTCATTTGATGAACTAGCCTTTTTGTTCACTCTCCTCACCTGCTGCATACTGTATTTCGATACCTGCCTGCATACTGTTTCACTAACATCCATTTTCGCAAACATTTCGAAATCACGTAACTCTAGCCGAGCCCAGCCCACCCACCCCCAGCTGTACTTATGATTATTCATCACTCTTGTAAAATATTCTGATGATGCAAGCAATACTCAAAACCATTTTGGTAGAAAAAAAACATCTTGTACTGTTTACACATACATGTAAAAATAATACATAAATATTTCCGATTGTACAGATAAGTGAATGAATTCGCCTCCAAAAAGAAACTCTTCACTGAAATATCTGCTCTTATTTCCATGTTTGGTGTGCAGCAGGGTAGTTTTCGTGAATTAAAAATTAAAAATTAAAAAAAAGAAACATTTCAGTTACCCAGACTGATGTCAGGTGTGATGTAGGATTTGGATTATGCACGAAATAAAATTCTAACAAGGGTAACTCTACATCAGTTATGGATAAATCTGATTACATCAAGAAAGTCACTGAACGCATCGCATCGGAACAGGCTCATATGAGGAAATTAAGAAGCCTGGAGATACAGTCATGCGTAAGATTAAAAAGTCTACAGAGGATTTAATACACTGGATGAAATTGTCACTAGGTGAGTCTAAATGATTGAATTCAATGCCCAAAACTAACAATGCTAGTAGAATGTATGGTACTATTAAAATACATAAACCAGGTTACGCCATAAGAGCAATAGTAAATTTCAGAAATACCCCCACTTATGAATTATCAAAACACTTAGCTCGAATGTTGTTATGCCGCCATTAGAAATCATTCGAACTCTAGATTAACTAATTCATATGAGATGAAAAATAAACTAAACGATATTCAACTAGAGAATGATGAAAAAATGGTTAGTTTTGATTTAACTAGTCTTTATACTTATATACCAGTCAATATGGCAGCCTTAGGAGCAGTTAAAAGGGAACTAACTTCCAATCCTGAACTTAGTCATAGGACAGAGCTGCCCAGTGAGTAAATTATCTTAGGAATTCAGTTATGCCTCACATCTACTATCTTTAAATTCCAAGGTAAAATATGTAAACAAACAGAAGGTGTAGCAATGGGATCACCAATATCCCCTATCGTAGCAGATATATTTATGGACAGCTGGGAAAATAGTGCCCTCAATACATTTAACTCTATTCCGAAAATATGGTGGAGATATGTGGGTGACACTTTCACAGTGTTAAAAACAGAACACATCTCTAGCTTCTTGACACATATAAACTCACTAGTAGAGGGAGTAAAATTCACATTTGAATCAGAAAATGAACGAGGAGAATTAGCTATGTTAGATTTTAAAATAAAACGAATAGAAGAAGGTAGATTGCACACTAGTGTGTACAGAAAACCAACTCATTCTAATAGATACTTAGACTTTAATTCATCTCATCCGTTAACTGTTAAGGCAGGCTTAGTTAAGTGTTTAACAAACCGAGGAAGAGCACCAATTAGTACAAGTAAGAGCCTAAATGATGAAATGAAACAGACAGAAGAATAGTTGGTTAGTGTTAAATAACTAACCATCCTATAAAATTCACTAAGAAGATCAAAAAAAGGTCAAAAGCAAAATAAAAATAATTGTGAAACTAGTAATAATAACATAAATAAGAGAGAATATAAGTCATTTACAGTTATACCGTATAAAGAGGGAACATCTGAGAACTTCCCTTTGTAAAATTCTCAATAAAGCAGGAATTAAGGTGGCATTCAAACCTACAAACTCATTCAAGAACAAGCTCTTTAGGCTAAAGGACCCTGTTGGTTGACACAGTTAAGCACCTTCCAATGACTCTGAATGAGGTCAAACTGGTAGATAGGGGGTAGTCAGATTGTCAGAACATAAGAATTTAGTGGCTGACGTTAAAATGATTGGCTGTGCAAATACAGATGAGTCATTTAGAAAAAAAAAACTCAGCGATTGCACTGCACCCATTAAAACACAACGACACAATAGGGTGGGAGAGAGTTAAAATTCTAAAGAGTAATATACAGGTAGGTGGATAGCGAGAGAGAGAGAGGTTGATTACTGAATCCTTGTTCATTGAGTCTACACCCACCAAATGAAATAGGAATGACTCATCGCCAATACTAGAGATGTGCAAAATACTGCTACCAATCAAATGGAGAGGTGAGAAATAATGGAATCACATAAACGATGTTAGAAAGTTGTGTGAGTGATTACCTTGATATGATTATGAGGAGTAATAAATTGTGCTTGGAACCTGGTCATCAGTAAATATTACTTACTGTATAACACTGTGTGAGGCTTTACCAAAATAAGATTTTATCCATTAAAATATAACAATGTACATATGAGAAGCATGTACACAAACTTCGACGCACTAGTAACCAACAAAAAACTACATGTATGCATAAAAAAGTTGAATCTGATACAGTCACTCTAGGCCAGTCTTAGGCCAGTCTAGCTCAGTTAATTATATCTTAACTTCCCAGTAATAATGTAATTCAAATCAAAAATCTCATCTGTCGTTCACGGGGAAGCAATACCCGCCAGTCAAATAGGTAGTTTAGGTTAGATTCCTTACTGGTACTCCCTAAAATCGCCTTGCCTAATCGATAGTAAGCCAGGAAAAGGCGTAAGATTGAGAATTAGGCTAGCAACCCTACACAACAACAAAAAAACACAACAAAAGTGCAAAAGAATTCGAAAACTAAGGCGTTATTCACTACACATCATATGACATACCTTAATCCATCCATTGCCAGATTTAAATCATGCATTCTACGTCTTTCACGTTGATTAATATTCAATCGAAGTGCTTGTAATTCTTCATCAGTAATCTGTGGAAATTCCTCGTTCAAATTCATGCTGTCATTCTCATCACCATCAATAATAGTAGTTGTAGTAGCTGAATTTTCACTGGATACATCTGATTTATTACTGTTATTATTATTGTTATTATTTCGGTGTGCCAATTGGCTAGTTGTTTTACTTCTGTGTTTCTTTCGTTTCAGTAATTTCGCTAATAAACGAGCTTTCGGTTTATTATTATTATTATCATTACTGTGATTGCTTATTATCATTCCATTTTTATCACAAGTTAAATTTAATGGAGTTAAGCAACTGTCGTTGATTGTTTTATTTAGTGTAAGCATGTTACAATCAATCCCTGTTTGTGTATTTTCGAAATTATTCACAATATAGCTCATAGTGACCAAAAGTCTGGTTGACCCTCCACAAGTACAGAGAGAAAATTTCCACTGGTATATATATATATATATTTATATGTTTAACGCAGACAATTTTGATTGGCCAATAATATGACTAAACTTTTGTCTTACCCTTAGAGAGAATGAATTCATTGGAAGACAATTGACCAATCAGAATTAAGTAGTGGACACGGGGGAGTAAACTGAAGATTTCAAACTAGAAAAAAAATACCCATTTAGACATTTAGAAAACAGAAAGGTTGAGCGTGCGAAGAAATATTTACTTTTCAATTAGATCCTCATCCCTCACTCGGGCTCTACTCTAATATACACGTATAGCATTTCTATTTCAATGCACAACAGTTTCCCAATCAAGTGGCACTCATATGTTTGTTAACAATAATTAGACAGTGTCAAAATGCCATTGGGGTGGTAAATTACGAACAGTTAACTATAATTAACACACACAATTAAAAGGTGAAAATGGTTACAACACGTGGATTGCATAATGCATAGTTTTGGAAAAATGAAGAATAATTAAGCAATAAGCGATTAAACAAGTTGGTTACGTAACAGTAAACCTACAACAACAGGTCAGTACACTCATTTTTTGAGTTTTGTACCTTCGAAATATAAACGTAACCTGGTAAAGTGTCTGGTTCATAGAGCTAGGTTAACCTGTTCAGACGACTGCTTCAATGAGGAGCTTAAGATTATTACAGAATTACTTAGGAAAAAATGGTTATCCAGATAAATTCATTGAGAAAAATATGAATTCATCACCTAGGACAGTCAGTATGGCTACAGTTCCGAAAAAACCAATGTTCATAAAACTGCAGTTCTTCAGTGACAACATCAGCGAAATAGTAACACAGCGACTGCCTGAAGAATGCAGTTAAAAGAGGTTATTATGCAGCAGAGATACGTTGTCTCTTCACAACCACCCTATTCTACGTTCGAGTAATAAGGATAAACTACCTAAATTCGCCTCTTCTATGTGTATCTACTAGTTTGACGGCAGCTGGGGAGCCAGCTACATTGGGCGTACAATTAGGCAGGTTCAGCATCGTATTTCCGAACATTATCCTGCATAGTGGTTAAGCAAGGGACAAACAAAATCTATTCGTAGCTCTATTTTAGCGCACCTTGTAGATAGTGAGTATAAGGTTGATGTTAATACAGCACATTTATCCTACTAATCTTAAGTTTGCCTTACGAGTTCGTCTTCTACTGACAGTTGAAGCAATAGGAATCCACTTGAAGAGGAATCCAAATCTGTGTATTCAGAAGAAATTTGTACAGCCACTTTTCTTAACTTGGCCATCGTTACATGAATGTATAAACCGGACTAATTAGCCCCCACCCCACCCCATCAACTTTTAAAAATTATGAAAATTATAATTGTCCAAATTATTTTATTTTTCTGACTACTTCAACCTTAGTTACAAATTCTCATTGTCCAATTCGTTTTATTTTTTTTAACAATCTGTTACATAATCAACCTGTGCACACGCTTATCCCTTAATTACCCTTCATTTTTCCAAAACTATGCATTATGCAATCCACGTGTTGTAACCATTTTCACCTTTCAATTGTGTGTGTGTTAATTATAGTTAATTGTTCGTTAATTACCACCCCAATGACATTTTTACACTGACTAATTATTGTTAACAAACATATCAGTGCCACTACCTGATTGGTAAACTGTTGTGTATTGTAATAGAAATGCTATACATAATATATTAGAGTAGAGCCCGAGTGAGGGATGAGGATCTAATTGAAAAGTAAATATTTCTTCGCACGCTCAATCTTTCTGTTTTCTAAATTGAAGATTGTAGATATGTTCAGAGTAGGATTTTATTACTGTGATAGAATATAAGGGCACAGAAAAACTTCATATTTCCCAACGACTGTTAATGGCTTTAAAGAGTCAGTTTGTAAAAGGTTCGATTGATCTGAAGTCTGGTCGCAGATCGATATCAGCTGGAGAACCACAGGGAAACCAACAAGCAGCATACTCGACAGTTGTTTACTCCGAGTGTGGGACTCTTTCAACAGTAGACAAACCCCGGGGGTCGAACTCAGAACCTTCTGATTGCAAGGAGAGCTCGTAGGTCAATCGACCACTGGGATAGGATGTATCAATGTTCCATCACTTCTAAATTCTGTCAGTTCATGAATTCTAGCGCCACCGTCAGCCAGTATCCCTGGTAAGTATTTGTTCTAACCCTCGACCTAATGGTCATGACTTATCATTTCACTTCCTGGTAACTTCACCATGAAGATCAGATGCTATGAGTAATCATGGGACCAGGCTAAAGAGGACAACAGAGGAAAGGATAAAGCGGAAATGTGCTGTTGGAGCCGTATGTTCCACTTAGAACCCATCGGAACAATAATACTAACAATCATCCTGCAATAAGTAACTAGCGAACATTAGGTTGGGTGTAGGGACCAATAACTTACCGATGATATTGACTAGCAGTCAAGTTATTACATCGCAAAATGATAGGAGCTAGAATTCACAGGCCATTGAATTCCATCCCAATGATTGAATGAATGGTCACTGGGTCCACTTCGTCACCTTAGGCTCCTTGGTTTGATCCCCGGAGGGGGTAGTGGGCTCGTACTGCTGGAGAACCCCTAGATTGGGACGAAACAACCGCCCCTTACTCCCTGGTTTTCAGTTCATGATCCAAATTTATCAACAGCTGCCCAGTTCGCTGGCTGGCTGGCTGGCTGGCTCCATACTCAAGATCAAATGGCCGGACGGAAAGAATCAGCAAGAAGAAAGTCTGGCGACGAAAAAGTCAACGAAGAAAGAGCCGACTGTTCAACCAAGAAGTATGTTGGAGAATATGGAGATGGATTAATCGGGCATACACGAGACTGTGGAGGCAGTCAGTCGAATAACATCGCCCGCAATGCAGGCTATTACTCGATTGGAATCAACGATTGGGGAAGAGGAGGAGGAAATGGAAGAACATGGGCAATGGTGGATCCAGCCAGTTGAAGAGGACAGCAGAGAATAAAAGGAGGTGGAGATGTTTTGCTGAATCGACTGAGACTATTAGATTACACAACAAATGGTTTGATGACAACCACTATATTGGGTTAATGATATCTTATTTATTAAACTGTCTGTTATGAAACAAATTCTGTAGCTTTTCGGTGAAATAATGACTTGATGCCATATACTACTATTCACTGGTATAGTACCAGTTAAATCAACCAAGTAGTAATGTTGTTTGTTAGCCAACCAGATTGGTGATTTAAACACCACCGGATGATCGTATCCATCGTTTAAGGGGCGTATTCATCACTGGTCTACTGTGTCTTGTCTGTCCTCAAACCACCTGAAATTTTGGCTAGTTTCTTGATGAATAGAGTGGTGGTAAAATTTTTACCTCAAACTGGGTAAATTATAAAAATCGCAAATTAATTTGCAACTTGTTAGCTGGAAAACTATAGAGGGAGGGGTGGGGTTGGGAGTGCGTCGACGGGAGGTCGAACCAGGACCGGATCATATACATGGTTGGCCAGTCGTTCTACTAGTTAGTATTATATATCCAATCTTCATTTCTTGATTGTCATCCATTTGAAATGAAACAGATCACATATACTGTGACGTAAGTAATTTCCGTTTCATATATTTGGTTCCATTGATAAGTTTCAATAAAGAGAGAAAGACGTTACCACTGAGTTATTAGGGCTCGCAACTGACCGTCCTGTAGGACTGGCTGAAGTGGATATTTTGATTGGACACGCTAACTCAAAGTTCATCGTGACGGTAAACCACCTAGTGACATGATGGCCACACAGCAAACTTGACTGATAGAATTCAGTCTGCACCAAAGACAGTAGGACTAGACAAATTACACTAGTTACCAACTCGTGTACAATCAAATTGTCCAAAACAGTCAGTCCTGTAGGAGATCAGTCGCGAGTCCGAATAGTTCAGTGATAACTTCTCTGACTGCAGGCGGCACTGGGTGGTGACGCGGGTTCGAATCTCAGAAGGGACATATGTTCCTTCAAGGTGGTTGCAGATACACCTGCCTTGCTGACTACTGGTGAGTGCCAACTAGCACGAACCCTAGGTGGTTGAAGGCTTCCTGTGGCCGATTGTCTCCACCCCCTAAAACAAAACAAACTTATGTATGCAGAAAGAGAGTGCTATCAATCTCTCACTCCCATGGTAACTATATACTGATTAGTCATCAATATCAGTGGTTTCAACCTACTGAGCAAGTTTTCAACTTTATGAACTATAACCCTCCTCAGCTACTGTGTAAACCTACATGTTAACACTGTTTATTGATTTTTTTTATGTATCCTATCTTCTCCTCCCTTCGTTTTCTATTTTGAAAGTAAATAAATTGACGGTAACTTGAGCCAAAAGTTGTAATTCTTATTCTCGTATTTCGGATGCGGTGATTTTATGTTTTCTTTCCTACTATTCAAACATTGAAGTATGTTATATCTCTATTGTTTTATGACGAACCATTGTAATTTCAGGTAGTGGCATGCAGCTGATGAGGTGAACCTGTGAAATATAATGATAATACATCGTTTTATACTGCATATCTCGCAGTACACACCCACTACCGGTCTTTGAACCAAGGACCTTCCGGTTACAAGGCAAGCTTTTCGACTACTGCGCTACATTTCCCTAATTTTATAAAAACTCTCGTTTCTGTAAAATTTCATGCCAAGAGTTTGTGGCAACTATTACAATTATTTACCTTTCGAACACTAAATCCAAGGATAAAATCTTATTGACAGATAATACCTATAACTAACTATTTGGATTTGTGAAACTTTTAAACATAAACACATCTATAATTGTATTTATTGTTGGATTCACATGTTCAAGTTGCTCCAAGACAGTGAGTCTATGGTTGAGATATCATTTTAGTTAACTATGCTGAATTATATTGCATGTT